AGATGAAAAACGCTTGTTCACGCCCTTGCAGATTCGTGCAGAAAAGTACTCAGTGTTACCAGGTCAAACTCATACATGTTATATGACCATTAAAGTGAACCATTGTGGTCGTAGTGAGGGGAAGTGAAACACTCTTTAATGTGAGTCCAGCAGCAGCTACACTGTAAAACATTAGGAAGTTTTTCTTGTCCGACAACAGATGGGGATTTCAAACAGAACACAGTTTGCCGCCTTGTGCAGCAAAACTGTCGACCAGATGTTTGGGGATGTTGTGAAGAAAGATCGCCGACGCTGAGGAGCATGTGTGAGCTTTTTATATCATGATGCTTTTAATATCCACATTCCTGTCACCCACATTCCTTATCATTTTCTTCTATTTTTGATGAATTAGGTGTAGAACCATGCATGATATTGGAAATAAAGGATTCAGTGATGCAGAATCAGAATTCCTTTAGTCCCACAGCAGGGACAGTTACAGTGTTACAGCAAAAGCGGCAAAGCAGGTAAACAAAGGCGTAAAAAAAAAGAAGTAAAGTAATAAAAAGGACAAAATAAGTACATTACCATTTTTAAATGTGTAGCAGCAGTAAAAAAAGAAAAAGGGACATAAGTAGCATTTTAAGGTGTTGAAGCATTACAATCAGTACTCGAGTTTCATCCCCCCTGAAATAAAAACGGTCAAAATCATCCCCACTTCTAAACTGCCACCCCCCCTTTCCATACCTTATGTCATTTTATCAATGAACGTGGCACTGGTATTACTGCTATTTCAACATTAATTTTGCGCATATTGAGTAAAATACTGTGGGCGAGGGAGCACGCCCGCATGCAATGACATTTTTACCAAGCCAATGACACTATGCTATGCAAGAGCCCTAGAGGGCACCAGGAGGACAACGCGATCTGAGGGACTTCATATTTAAAAAGACTAAAAATAACATTTCAGGTAAGTCAAGAGTCAGTAATCTTAGTCATTACTCATTACTTTAGTCACCAAAGGTGGAATCTATGGACATTAGCAGCAATAACAACTTAGTTTAGAGTTTAACTACCTTTTTCTCTCGTGTTAGCTAGCTGGTAAGACTCAAAACTGTTGATGAAATGATACCACCAGCACAAGAAGAGCTGAAACCCCTCCTTCAAGCAGTGAACACTCTGGTCATCTCCACAGCTGAGTGTGAACGTGGGTTTAGTCAGATGAACATTTTAACCACAACTAGAAGCTCCCTAGAGGTACTCCCGTTAATCACGTTTAAAAAAGTTGAAACTAAATTCCCCCACTCCCCTTATTTTTTTTACACAATATTTACCTTAGATACCTGTTTAAGAACATCCATTTGTCAGGAGTAAATAATAATTCTACCTAAGTCGACTAATATAGATTATATTTATTTTATCCAAAAATCTTATAACTTAATACTCACATTAAAAAGTTTTTTTCGCTCAATGACCATGTAGCTAGTTATTGACCATGATTTCCCATTAACACATAGATATAATTAATGTAGTAATTACATTGTTTAATTGGTGAGACTTTTGTTACTCCTTTTATTTAATCTTTTTAACTACGGCAGTAAGTAAAATAACGTCAGTTTATGTTTATAAAATACAAATGTGTAGTTCGACATGAAAAAAAGTTTGTCCGTAATTCACGTTTAACTTTACAAAAGTTTATACTTTATATGAATTTTCCTTAATTATGTCTATTACTGTTTTACCTGGTTTATAACAGTTACCGACGGAAGAGGTGAGAGGGGGGTAGAGTATCTTTGAAGGAAAGTTTCTAAGTAATTTAGTTACAGAAACCAAGGTTAAAAAAGAGCGAGAACGAAGCCTACAATGATTCGTTACCGAAACTCGGTTGAGAAACTGTATATGGAGACCCAGATTGAACAAGTCACCTCCCGGTTAGTGTGAACTCACTTTTCGTTCCGAACTG